GGATAACACTTTATATTTGTTACACGTTCCCATTCACAGAGAAGAACATTTCATGAAGCACTTTAAAGCAGAATTCTGGGTAAAAATAGCATTAACCCTTGCAGAGGGGCTACCCCCCCCCCCCATACTGCAAGGGTTAAGTGCTCACTCGATCCTCAGAGACAGCTTGTCCGGTCCCTGGAGCCTCTCTCCACCTCCGCGGCAGCGGTCTAAGGTCCCCGAGTCATCACGTTCTATACACTGTATATATGTGTGAGGATGCTGAGGGACATACCATCGCTGGAGAGGAGTGGGGGAGACAAGTGAGGGATTATTTTTGACCCTAGGCACTTAACCCTTGCAGTAGGGGGGGGGCACCACTGTAAGAATTAAAGGTCTCTAGGTTTGGGTGGCACCTCACATGGTAATACACGTTTAACAGAACCGTCCCTCACCATCACATGACCATCTATTCTAAGCAATAGGAGACGCCTACAGTGTCCGATGTATAAATCCGCACCAATCAAACAACTGGAGAGGTAAGAAATATGTTAAAAGCATTTTATAGGCATGCTGTGTGAATAGGAACACGCAACAAACATACACAAGGAGAACACACAAAGGAAACAGCGATCCATCACAGCTCAGAGAAGGAATGAGCCGGGTGCTTGTGCTGGGAGCACGTCCTCGCTCCGATATGAGACCATACAAACAGAAGAAAAGCTGGGGAGACGCACCGGATTCCACCGGGACAGTTTATTGAAGCTTGTACCACATCCCTGGTGTCCTGCCCCAGCTGACGCGTTTGACCCAGTCATGGGCCTAGTCGTAGCTTAGTTGCCCTGTGATGTATTTATATAGTGCGGCCAACTTACATAGTCGCACATTCACATCAGTCCCCGCCCTCGAGGAGCTTACAATCTAAGGTGCCCATCAAGGCCCAATTTTAAACAGGAGCCGATTTTTATGTGCTTAGAGGGTGGGGGAACCCAGGCAAGCACAGGGAGAACATGCAAACTCCATGCAGGCAGTGTCCTGACCGGGTGAAACGCGTCAAAGGGCAGACCTTGCGTGGGACACCAGTGACATGGAAACAGCGGCAATAAACTGATCTGGTCGGCCGCCAGCTTTTCTTGTGTTTCTATTACAGACAGAATTTGGGATTTCTCAGATTTGGCTGCAAAAGTGGAAAATAGACAATAAAAAGGCACCAATGGAATCGTCCCATTCCGACATTTCTGGGTGTATCAGATGCCCCGCCCCTTCCCATCTGCTATGTCATTAGCCTGTTCCTGCACATAGTCCGTGCTATGTGTAGCCACAACCTGAGTACAAAAGCCTGTCCCCTGCCAGCGGATATAGAGCTGGAGCCTTGCTCTCCGTGTGGAAGAAGCGGTCTCTCTGCAGGGATCCAACACTAGACACACAGATGGTCAGAACTATAGGTTTGAAGTCAGCAAAGATTGGAGAGCTGTGACTAGCCCGCGGCTTCCACACACACAGGAAGGGTCCTTGCTGGCAGGTCACAGGCTTTTCTGCTCGGGGCTGTGGCTGCTTCCACATGAACACACCTGGAATGTATTGGAGGGATTTAATCATATTCAGTTTGGATTTCATTTTCATGCAGCAGGTAAAACGCTCATTGCCTGCGCTCTGTATACAGGAGGCTCCAAATATTGCAACATATAAGTGAATAAAAACTCCATATTAGTATCACTAGAAAAGCTCCAACAAAGCTCTGCGAACACTCGCGGCCCTCACCCGGCTCTTATACAACGGGAAGCCGCTGCGCGCCAACGCCTGAGGCTCACCCCCCTGTACAGGGATGCAGCTTCTCCCGTCTCAGCACTGGGATTGCTCCGTATTCATGACAATCAGAAAATATTTCCTTCCATTATTCCTGAGCTATTCCCCATATTCCCGGGCCGGACAAGTCCCAGGAGACGGGTCGCCGCTGCGCCTTTACCTTTCAGGTTTAATCTCGTTGTGGCCAATGGAGCTCCTAATAAAATCCTGTTGCCTTCCTTACTGGACAGACTGGCTCCTGAACCCCATATTAAAGCAAAAGTGTCCTGAACCCTTACAATGGCGCTCCCCCGGCACTGCAAGGGTTAAGTGCTCATTTTTGTCCGAAAGGTTATACTCACCCGATCCTCATAGCCGGCTTGCTCTTAGACTGGTTCCTGGGGCCCCTCCGATGCAGGTCCTGCGAGTCATCACGTTCTACACACAGTGTATAGAAGGCCAGGAGGCCGAAGGACACCATTGGAGGAGACAAGCCGGAGGGACCAAAGTATCAGTTAGCCGGCTCCGGGGATCAGGCAAGTATAACTTTTTTTTTTTAGCACCTACACAAAAATAAGCACTTAACACTTGAGGTGCCGGGGTAGCCCCGCTGGAAGGGTTAAGAAGACTGTTGTCTGGAATCTGCTTTAACTTGTCCATTGTTACTATAAGACAATGGCAATCTACATCACAAGGACAGTATAAAAGTCCACCACTCATGACCCAACTATTCTGTTTGGTTGAGGCGGCACACAGCCTACCCTGCTGGGAATCACTGACGTCACTGAGTATGGAACTAATTCATTCCAGAAATTCACTTTACAAGGCGGATCATTGCCGTAGCGGAACTGGACAGGAGTGTCAGCCAGTAAAACGCCATTTGCAGAGACTCACCGGGATTGCCAACTGACCTTAAAAAAGGGGCCATATTACCAGCCAAACCACCATCTAGGGCAGGGGTGGGCAACTCCGGCCCTCCAGCTGTGCTGTGGAACTACAAGACCCATGAGGCATTGCAAGACTGACAGTTACAGGCATGACTCCCAGAGGCATGATGGGATTTGTAGCTAAAGCACAGCTGGAGGGCCGGTGTTGGCCACCCCTGCCATAGGGGGTGGTGGTAAGGGGGCGCAAACTCCATATTGATGGCCATGGTTCTGGAATCATACAGCTGTGTTTGCTCATATATAAGTGGCCAGAACTACCATCCTTGTGGCCTAGTTAAAGCGCAGCTGGAGGGCCAGTGTTGGCCACCCCTGCTATAGGGGGTGGTGGTAAGGGGGCGCCAACTCCATATTAATGGCCATGGTTGTGGAATCAGATGTCCAACAAACTCATACAGCTGCGACCGGCCGGTGTCCTCAAACCTTTGCTCATATATAAGTGGCCAGAACTACCATCCTTGTGGCCTAGTTAAAGCGCAGCTGGAGGGCCAGTGTTGGCCACCCCTGCTATAGGGGGTGGTGGTAAGGGGGCGCCAACTCCATATTAATGGCCATGGTTCTGGAATCATACAGCTGTGACGGGCCGGTGTTGGCCACACCTGCCATAGGGGGTGGTGGTAAGGGGGCGCCGAATCCATATTGAAGGCCATGGGTCGGGAATCATACAGCTGCGACCGGTCGGTGTCCACAAACCTTTGCTCATATATAAGTAGCCAGAACTACCATCCTTGTGGCCTAGTTAAAGCGCAGCTGGAGGGCCGGAGCTGCCCACTAGAGGAAAGCAGCCAATCCAATCATAGACTGGAGACAATCCAATTGATAATTGCTTTGATTGGGAATTCCGATCACATCTAAAAATCTCACTCTGTGTTCATCAACCAAACCGATTAAAAAGAAGAATAAAGCCAACGTGATATTCATTGCAATGCATGCGGGAGCCTCAAACACTCAGTGACCCCTGTGCCGGTGTGCATGAAGCCCGGCTGTATACGGCTATATACAGAGCGGTCCTACGTCCCACTTATATCCCGTTAGTTACATTTCTGACCGTTGAGTTCCCGTACTCTAAACCTTCACAGCAGGGCTCCGGGTATTGTCTGTTCATGAAGAGCCGCACTCAACGGATCTTCCACAAGTATCCAAACTTTACTTTAATCCATTACGGTATATACAGTAATAACTCGGTTCACGAACAGGAAGTTTGCTTCTGTTCGTGAACTCCACATCGGGTGACGGACACGACCGCAGCCATCTTCCCCGCGCTGACACGTGCTTGCGGCTTCCTCTAGTCGAGATCGCGATCTGATCGCAGTTTGATTCGGTTAGTGAGCAAAATCGTGGAACGAGTAGCGGCCGTGATCCGAGGTACCACTGTATCTGTTAGCGCTCTCCATGGCGAGAGACACAATCTCACGCGTTTCACCTGCAGGGCTTAAACCTGTCACAGGTCGGCTCTATAGATCGGGAAGTGAGGAGACACATGCCGCTGATCGCTGACTTCCCAATCATCTCACTGCAGAGAACCGTGACTGTCTATCACCGCTCCCTGCACAGACTCCCCCCTCTCCGATCCTCCAGCGATGATTGGGGGAACGGACGGGGAGGGGGTGGCCACAGCTGCCTCTAGATAGGCAGAGCCAGCTGTCACTCACGCAGCTGGGTGGATCCATACAGTAATGTCGGGATCCGTCCCGGCTGCGGCACTCTCAGTATATAGCGGGCTACTGAGCTTTGGGTCACAGGAAGAGGTTAGAATATGTCCTCCCGTGACCCTGAAGAGAACTATGGGATAAAAAGGTTACCCCACAGTTCTCTTTTAAGCCCTGAGGGAAAAACGCGTGAGCGTTCCTCTTGCCACGGGGCGCGCTAACAGGTGTATACCGTTTTATGGATTCAAAATAAATTTGGGATTCGTGTAGAAGATCCGTTGAGTGCAGCTCTTCATGAACAGACATTACTACATGTGGGACGAACCTCACTTTGTGCCAGCACCTGGAAGATTCTCACAACTGCCCAACGGGAGCGATGAGCGTTAGGGATTATTAGGGCTCCGGGTCTTGCAGCGTTAGTCGCAGACGACGCAATCGCCATTTTGTTTATGGGAAAGGTATTTTTTTTGCCTATTAGGGATAAAACATTACCGTGTCTAGAATAAAAGAAATCAATGTCACGACTTTCGGCCGGTCCCGTCTGACCTCGAGCACAATATGTCACATTAAAACAATGAGTCCAGGGGGAGGGGTTCTTTAAAAAGGCATTCGTCCTACTACGCACGTATTTCCAGCTCTACAAGCAGTACCGGGGGGGGAGGGGGGCTACAAAAGTTCTCTCCTAGATCTACAGTTCCTGGTACGGCGAAAACGATCTGTTTAGAAGGCTCCTGAAAACAATAAGCTAGTGTTGATATTTCTATCAGAAGGCCCCAATTTTTAGAATTCCATCCACAGGGTTCGGGATTTGAGGGAGGAGAAACAAAAGCCCCAAAACGCATGTTAGTTATAGGTCCAGCAAGCTCCCGCCCACCTCTGTCCCTTGCAAGCTTCCTTATGCTTCTGATAGCAGGTCTCTACCCGGAACTTGCGACCGCAATCTTCGCAGGAGTAGAGGTTGCTCCCGTGAGTCTTCATGTGCTCGGTGAGGTGGTGCTTGAGCTTGAACTTTTTGTTGCAGACGGAGCAGCCGAAGGGGCGCAAGCTAAAGGTCAGCATAATGTGGCGATCCCGTTTGGGCTTCACGGCGAAGCGCTTCCCGCACAGGCAGCCGAATTTTTTGCCGTCGGGGGCGGCCACGAGTTTGACGGGGGCGTGAATAGTCTGGGCCTGGAGAGCGGGGGCCACAATCTCATTGCCGTGCAGGTCCAACGGCTTAGAGATGGAGAAGGAGGGAGATTCGGGTTCCGCGTACAATTTGTTTGGAAGACAGAGGGAGACGTCGGAGGATGTGGGCGGGGACGGAAGAGGCACCACGAAGCTCAGCTCCGAGTGGTACTCCGACTTTTCCAGGTCCATCTCCTGCTTCACCTCAAAAGTTTTCAGAAAGCTATCCTCGTCCCCGTTCTCCTGCTTGAGGAAGATTACGTTGGGGCTTCCGAGGGAGGACGAGGATGACGGAAGAGCATAAGAGCAGCTGGCGCTGGCACACTTTAGATCGTCGTCCTCCTCCTCCTCTTCCTCGGAGACCCGCACCTTGATCACGTCTTCGTCATCCGAATTCACCGTGACCACCGTCGGTTGCTTGTCCTCTCGCGGAGGCTGGAAACTGCTGCTGGGCGACTGGCTCTCGCTGGCTCGGCTCGACCAAACCGGAGTGCACGCTTGCCTCTCCTTAAGAAGTTCACAGCAGCGGTCCACCACTTGCCACATCTGAAGACCGCTGGCCACCAGCAGATGGGAAGGCAAGGCCTCCATTTCCAGGGACAGGCTGCCGGAGTAGATGAGCTGCAGGAGGTTCTCGAAGGCATCGGGCTGGATGACGTTTGGAAGGACCAAGCGGCTGGTGTCGTTCAGCAGCAGCTTGTCGTGGAAGTACGGGGAAGAGGCGGCCAGGACCGTCTTGTGGGCTCGGAAGATGCGGTCCTGGACTTGGATGGACAGGTCGCAGAACTTCCCCTCCAGGCGCTGCTTGTTCAGGGTGTCCAGGAGCACAGAGCTGTAGTGGGGGAAGTCCATCTGGATGCTCTCACTGCCAGGCATGGTGACCACCTAAGAGGGAGAACATCAGACAATGAGAACAGAACTCACACGCCAGAAAAGGTCAGATAATATGTGGCACAGGGTCACGTCTGTACAAGTGTTCCAAAAGTATGAGGAGTAGCCCTGGTAACGGTATAACTGGGAGGCACCGGGGCACAGACAAGACAATATCACAATGGGAAATAAAAACAAAGTAAGAGCTCTTGAGGTTCAGATACGAAGTGACTCTGTTCTGAGAACTATTCCGGACAAGAAGCCGACAATGAAATGAAAAAAAGATGTAAAATAACAAAAATTGGAGGTTTATACTAAATCAGAGCGAGCTGAAGGAACTTCCCACCATTTCCTCAACATGGCCTGCTAGGGACCTCGGAACTTGTTACGTCTCCAACAGCTGGACCCAGGACTAGTCAGAACCGCTTACACGTACAAAAACATGAACTTCAGGTGACACTAAACTCTGGAGGTAAAGGAGAACTATGAGGGGGGTGAAAATCACTCACCTCATAGTTCGAGCCGACCTGTGACAATGAAACTGTCGCAGGTCGGCTCAGTAGATCGGGAACACATACCTGCGTTCGCTAACTTCTCGATCATCTCACTGCAGAGAGCCGTGACTGTCACTCACGGCTCCCTGCAGGGCTTCCCCCCCCTCCCCTGTCCGATCCTCCAGAGTTGACTGGAGGAACATACGGGGGAGGGGGCGGGTACAGCTGGCTCTGCCTCTAGATAGGCAGAGCCAGCTGTCAATCACGCAGCTGGGTGGATCCAGACAGTAATGTCGGGATCCGTCCCGGCTGCGGCGGTCTCGCTGTAGCTCGCTATATACTGAGCTTAGGGTGACGAGAGGACGCTAGTTTATGTCTTTCCGTGACCCTGAGGAGAACTATGGGGAAAAACACTGACCCCATAGTTCTCTTTTAAATCTTAAAATTACATTCAAGTCCCTTAACTATTACAAACAATTAGGGCTGGTAATTATTCAAATTTTCGTGTTTGATTAATCACATTTTTTTTTTCATCGATTAATTATAACGCACATACAGATCCAACTACATTGGCCTATACACATACAGCACAGCAATGAAGTAATAAAATGAACTAGGATCACACTAATCCAGCACGTTATTATTCTGAGTTGCCCCACTCAAGCGGCGGCCATATTGAGTGGGGCACGTGAGATAAATAACGTGCTGGATTAGTGTGATCCTGGTTCATTTTATTACTTCATTGCTGTGCTGTATGTGTATAGGCCAATGCAATGTCTGCTTTTCATACCCAGGAGTGCTTGTACGACTAGAACACTACTGTTTAGGGTAGAAACTGGCCAAAATGTAGGATGGATCAAGTAGTTAAAAATGTGTTTCTTCCATTTACAGACCCCACACATGGTTAATTGTTTCAGTCCGCCCTTAGTAGAACTAGAAATGATCAACTTTGTCGGTGAAGAATACAAGATTGTTTGCAGCTTGACATGTACACATGGGGTGGGCCGGGTCACCACTTGGGGAAGGGGGGACTCCTCCCCCCTCCCCCAAGTGGCTCCATCGGCTAACGAAGGGAAGGGGGGAGGAGTCCGATGACATCACGGACATCGCCGTCACCGGGCTCCTCCCCCCTTCCCTTTGTTAGCCTGCTATGATAAAGCTTAGATTAGTAGTTCATGGAGGATACCTACAACAGCGATACTACAAAGACACAACAGGGACAAGGCAGGAGCTAGCACCTTGCTAAAAAACCCCAGAAAAGTTGAGGTCAGGCCAAACATTGGTAATGGCTTTTCCCCTCTGTAAATTGCAGAAGGCTTTGGTGGTCAGGAAATATCAGGATAACGAGGTAAGCATTTTGGATATCAGTTGAGGGAAGAAAATATCTCTGATGCAGAAAGACCGCCACCCAACCGTTTGATTTCCCTCAAAAAAAGTGTTTCGAGCTTTTAAGTCCAGAATGGACCTTGGTAAGGACCCGAGGAGCAGTAAAGAGGCCAAATGGAAAGGCAACAAACTGGCAATGTTACGAGTCCACAGGAAAACGCTGATAGAATTTATGGGCAGGAAAAATGGGGATGTGCAAATATGCATCTCTGATGTCCACTGCCAGCAGAAAGTCTCCGGGGTGAAGGGAGGCGATGACAGAGCCCACTGAGGATCTTGCGATCAATAATAGGTTGACCCCCCCCCCCTTTTGCTTTGGGGACAGTGAACAAGTTGGAGTAAAACCCCTGCAAACGTTCTGCCTCCATTACAGGGACTATGACCCCCATGAGAAAGGAGCCGACCTTGGCCACAAGAAGATCCATCTGTCTTCAAAATTATTTTGATTGGTACTCACCTCTCCGCCGGCTTCCTGGAGTTCCGTCGCAGATCCGCTGACGTCACGGACATCGACGTCACTGGACTCCTCCCCCCTTCATTAGCCAACAGAGCCACTTGGGGAAGGGGGGAGGAGTTCGGTGACGTTGATGTCCGTGACGTCACCGGATCTGCGACGGAACTCCAGGAAGCCGGCGGAGAGGTCAGTATCGATCAAAATAATTAACGATTAATCGTTAATTTCCACATCCCTACAAACAATGTATCTTATTTGTGTATCATCTGTGAATTGTGCCGACACTGTCCTTCCTTCTGGAGGGGGGCTACTTGTGTTCCCCTGGTCCCTGTGTGTGTTGTAGAGTAGTCACCGCTCCAAGCTCACTTCCGGGATGGACTACAATCTCATGTTTAGTTTACTAATTTGTATTGAGATTCTAGTCCATCACGGGAGCGAGCTTGGAGCGGTGACTACTTTACAACACACACACAGGGGCCATGGGGAACACAAGTAGCCCCCCTACAGAAGGAAGGACAGTGTCAGCACCAGGGATGCACTGATACCGGTACTAGTATTGGTGCCGATACCGAGTATTTGGGCGAGTACTTGTCCAAATGCTCCGATACTTACCCCTGATACCGGAACTTCTGGTCGGAGGAAATCTCAGTGGCGCAACGGAACATAGAGCCGGTTTCCCAGCCAATCAGGAATCTGGGCTGCGAGTAATGACTCGTGGCCCGGCTTCCTGATTGGCTTCCCGGCCATTCAGCATTGAGCCGGCTTCCCGGCCAATCAGGAAGCAGGGCAGCGTGTAATGACATGCTGCCCAGCTTCCTGATTGCCTGGAAAGCCGGCTCCATGTTATCATAAGTACCGGTATCGTCAAGTACCGAAATATAAATATTGGTGCTCAATACCGAAAAATCAGTATCGGTGCGTCCCGTCAGCACCAATTCAGAGCGGATTTGAGGATCCCGGAAGCGCTCGGCTCGAAACATCTCCAAGTTCAGAGATGTGAAAGTTCCATCTGCAGAGCTGAATAGACATCTGATTGAACACATCGATCGGCTGAAGCAGAGGGCGGGGGGGGAAGGGGGATTAGGTGTCTAATAGACCCCTAATGTCCCCATAAACAGTACCTATCACTTGCCCAATGCTATCTCATAGGCAGCGCGTTAGCCCCCCTTGTTAAAGCAATACAGTACAGTGATAAAAGGGTTTAAATCTATATAATAAGCTGAAATAAAAACAACAACAAGCACCCCCACACACACACACACACACACACACACACACGCACACACACGCTTCCATACAGCATTCTCATACATGTAAAGAGTGATTGTGCAACACGTATAGGGTATCACCACACGAGCAGGGAGGAGAAGTGATTCCGGGTCCCCCATTTACAGAGAACCCGAAATTGATGATTTGTAAAACACTTTCATGTAAATTGAGCAATCGGTCCGCTGCTTGCCCCTCCCCCTTAGTGTTAACCCCGAGCGCTACTTGGGCTCCGAATTCCATGTAAAAATTCCTAAATGTTTCCTCGGGGTGACCGCTTCCCCCAGAGTCTAGGAGGCGACATGTCAGCACGGCGTCCATCTGCCGATCCTCCCACTTTGCCGTGAACCCGGAAGTGCTCCGAGGATGACCTGTTCATGGAGGTCAGAAATGCGAGTCAATCAAAAGGGAACGCCCCCATGTCTGTCATGTGACATCTATGGGAGTGACTGTTCATGTCACATGTCACAACACGCGAGGATGCCCCTACAGGTGAGGACGCGAGGACGCCCCTACACCCCGCGAGGACGCCCCTACAACATCTGAGGACGCCCCTACAACATCTGAGGACGCCCCTACAACATCTGAGGACGCCCCTACAACATCTGAGGACGCCCCTACAACATCTGAGGACGCCCCTACA